GAGAAAAAAAAGAGAAAACTTCCAGAGGAAAAGACTTACATAAGCGTGCTCGTTCTTTTATAACTCCTCAGGCCTCATTAATTAATAAAACAGAAGGGCAAGCCTAGAGAAATTGCTTATTAATTATTTATAGCCAAATATGAAATAATTGTCCACAAAGATCTTAAAACTAGGAAAAACATATATACATACTGGCTTACGCACAATTGTGCTTCAGGCAGGGAATGTGTATTCTCCAAGTCATTCTTACCTTTTAGACTAGACAAGCGGCATAGCATAGTGGATAAGAACATGGACCCTGGAGCCAGACTACCTGGGGTTGAGCCCTAGCTCTGCCCCCAACTAACTGGGCCTCTCTGTGTCTTTGAGTTTCCTCATCTATAAAACAGGAATAGTAACAATACCAGACTTTATTTAGATTAAGGGAGTTAATACCATGTTCTGTTCTAGAAAAAGATTTAGCAAAGCTTATGAAAATGCATCTAAGGCTAGAAAGTAAGAATTAAAACTACAGCAAGCAGCTCATGCCTGTAATCCCAGCACTTTGGGAGGCCAAGGTGGGAGGACTGCTTGAGGCCAGGTTTTGGAGACCAGCCTGGGCAACATAGTGAGATCCTGTCTCTACAAAAACAAATAAAAAAAAAATTAGCTGGGCAAGGTGGCTCACACCCGTAGTCCCAAATACTCAGAAAGCTGAGGTGGGAGGATCGTTCAAGCCCAGGAGTTCGAAGTTGCAGTGAGCTACAATGAAACCACTGCACTCTAGCCTGGGTGACAGAGCAAGACACTTCTCTTAAAACCAAACAAAACAAACACAAAAAAAACTAGAGGCAGAATAATGAATGCCACAATGACCTACATACTTTCCATGGGAGATCCATAAATTTGATTCTAAGGTTTTAAACCAATATGAAAAAGGTATCTGGATCGGGTAAGACATTCAGAAAGGCAATCAACTACACACCAATACACAGGAAAATCCAAAACTTGTTAAGAATTTGACAGGGTCTCATAAAGAAAATACATAATGGAATAAACAACTTTGATAAAACTGACAACAGATTCAAATAAGATAGCTTTTCATGATGACCTTTACTATAGGCTGATGGTGTCAGTGTAATTGAGTAAAAGCAATTCTTTTAGGGGTCAAAAACAACACTGTCTAGGTACTGCGGTCTCTATTAATATGGCTTGATTCAGAAGTGAATTTCAGACTATCTGTAAGAACAGTGCTACCTTATATCCTGTAAGCAAACACTTTAATCTCAGTCAAATTTTGATAAATACTGAGAGGTAATGAGATTGAGTCTGAACTCTGACAAGAACTCAAAATACAGCTCAACTGTGCTGCCTATTAAATAGAAACACATGGGCAATGGAGACAGGGTTTAGAACTTGTGAAAACAATGGAAACTATCAAAGACACTTGCTTGAATATTTACAGGTAAGCAGAGAGGAAGCAAGGCCAAAATTCTCTTTAGAAATTGTTTTTGACAGATGTGAATTGCTCCAATCTGTCATTCTATGTGACCACTTAAA